CCTTGGAAACTTGGACTGGTTCTTACTACGCGCGCAGTCCTCGAGGCTGCCTTTCTGTAACTTTTCACTCAACTCATGTTGAGATTATATACGTAGAACATCACCGAAATAAAACGGTGATAACATTCTAATGTATCTAGAGAAAGACAAACATATTGTCATAATTCTCTATGAATCACGCGAGTTTATTGCGGTTAAAGGAAGAAAAATCATTTTGATTTTTGGTGATGTTCTACGTATATAATCTCAACATGAGTTGAGTGGAAAATTATAGAAAGGCAGTCTAGAGGACTGCGCGCGTAGTAAGAACCAGTCCAAGTTTCCAAGGCTTGGGCTTTTCTGTAACGAATAGGCGGTTGTAAAACATATCTATTGGTATCAAACAAGTCGAGTTTAAAAAATCAACTAACTTCGTATATTTACGACTTCTCTAGGCGAAGAAACTCGTCTTTTTGGTTCTTTCACACATTTTCTTACAATAAAATAAGATTAAGAATATTGTTGTTTTTCGTCTGATCAGTAAAATTTTTCACATGTGACTGGACAGTCAGTGGAAAAACTTAAAAGACAATGACTACAAATACTAATACATAGAGAAATTAAAAGAAAATATCTGATAAACAAAGTTATGCGGAAAAAAGCAAATGAACCATCACCAGAACAAGATCAAATGCACGCACACAAAAAAACCGTTTTGACTTGTCTATAGCCATATCACATCATTCATGTACTAGAGGAAGCACAAAAAATATTACTAAAATGATACGTTAACAGATTTTGGAATGAAATAAGAACAATAATACCAAAAAACTCATCGAAAAAAAACAACAGTTTTGAAAAACTCATCGAAAATATTCGAATGTCTATGAGAAAACAAAAATAAAACAATAATATTGCAATAATAAGAAAATACTAGATAACAAGCTAAATTTAACAGAAAAAAACAAAAAACATTTTCAAATTGGATTTTCTCGTTTTTGTTTATTTTTCCACTGTTTTTGTTTTCGTATCGCTGATAAACGATTACATGCCTGCTGTATATTCATAAATGTATCTTCCGCTTTACCTTTAGCCTCGATATCCTAGAATTAAAAATGCAGAAAAATATGTTGAAATTCCAATAGAGCTACTGTTTTACTTAGATAAATGGTCATATACTTACATGAAAACGATCAGGATGCCATTTTCGTGCAAGTGCTTTACATTTTGTTTCAATTTGTTTTTGATTTGTGCCCGGTTCTAAGTCAAGTAACTTGAAGAAAAAAATACAAACATTAACATAAGATATTAAGTATAATATGATTCGTACTTACTTCAAATGCTTGTTTATCACTTTCGAAATCAAATGTTCTCCATATTTCTGTCCATATTCCAGTTAAACCGTGTGTCAAATAAAATGTCCATATTTCAAGTAGGACATGTCGCAGTTGCTGATATGTTTGTGATTTGAAAAAATCAGTTATTACATCTTTTACTTTAACTTTTTCACCATTTATATCTACGTTTAAGTTTTGATATATAGCACTCGACGCAAATATACTAAATACTAGTAAACCGGATAAGAAGATTATATAATGCTTAAATGTATTTTCTCGACGCTTTAAGGGTGTTTTCTGATGTTTGACTACGATGGTGGTGGCCGGTTTAGAAAGTGTTTTTGGTTGTTTTGAGACAACTACTGTATCGAAATAATTGCGATCCCAATCAACTTTCCATTCAAATAACAATGATGAGAGAAATGCTGATATGTTAAGTGATGGTGATGAATAAATTCGAATGAATAAAAACGGTATGCCCATACATGCACCGAGCAATGGCCAGAAAAATGGACAACGACGTGGACCCAATGTTCCCATCAATTGTACTCCTAGAAAAAATAAAAGATTTAAAAATAAAACTCGTTTAATTATCATGAAGATACGTACATACCGATCGCCATGCTGATTGTTGAACATAACGAAATAAAGAATGATTTTGAATTTGATGATAGCCATTGTTCAGGAAATGCATAATAAACGATAGAACCGTAAAATATGGCCGTAAGATATTGTCCTGTGAAAAAGAAAAATAATGAAAGTACTTTAAAAAATACTTAAAAAAAAGGATTTTGATTCTGTTTCTGTCCTCGACCGCATTGAAACAACAAATATTTCAATGTTTCGCTAACAGACAATATAATATTGGCTAAACTTGTCAGTGACTACCACTTTAATTTTGTGTAATAGCACTATTTATAACAAGCATTAGCCTGAACGGAGTTTCTGATATAAATGGAAAAATTATGGACGTACAGGCAAAAATTCTCTCAGTCATTCTTTCGAGTATTGTGTCCGTTGTCGTTCTAAATCTAAGCTTATCTACATCCTTTACTCACCAGCAAATCTTAATGTTTCGAATGCTGGTGATTTACGCTTTTTCATTTTTAATTTGTAACTATCAATTGTTGCTTGATCACCATTTGCTTGTTTAACATAGTTGTTCATATTATAGAAAATATCACGCAATAAACCGATACCAAAACCACCAAACGTAGTGAACCATACAAATGTATGCTGAAGTCGTCCTAGATAAAAATGGTGTAAACCCAAAATCCCACCAATAATCGAAAAAACATATGCAATTGATGTATGTTTTTCCATTGTGAAAAAATCAGATAGACAATCTACAATAAATCCAGAATAAAAAACTTGAGATCAGTGTTTCTAATGGAAATTGTTTGCCGATGTACACGCACACTTTGTTTCTGAAATCAAAGTGTACGTGTATACTTTGTTTTATTTTTGAATAGTGTACAAAATGTACCATTCCAAAGTTAAAATGAAGACAGCTAAGCCAGTGAGAAATGCAGAGAATTTGGGGGTTAGAAAACCAAAGATTTTATAACGACAACTCATAAGATTTTATTTGGACATAACAAGCCTACAGGCAGGACAGATATTGACTTAGATAAAAATCACAGCTCTGATGTGCTTCAGAACAAAAATAATCTGACTCTCATTTGACTGTTCATCATGAACATGGGCGGGGCCGGAACTAAAAGAAAATGTTTACTGAGATCGGAACGGAACCGAGACTAAGTTTTTTTTTCTGTCAAGGAACCTAGAAAATATGTTTGAAAGAAAAATAGATTTTTGACAATTTTTTGGGTGTTTTCGAAAAAAACGAGACTGAAGACTTTAAAGAGGGTATGAGACCAGGATCGGAAAACAACAGTTCCACTCATGTTCATATCATAACGTATCACTCAAGCTGAAAATAACCCATCGCCGTTTTGCCGAAACAAACAACGTGCACAGAACAAACTTAAGCGTATGTACACTTGCTCTGCTGTGTGTACTTTGTCATTAGAAATACTGCTTTAGATGCATGAATAGTCTCCTATTTGATCAAATTACCATTAACCCAGTCAGTTAGACAAATTTAGGCTAAACTCTTTAACTGCTCACGCCGATAAGCTTTCTTACTGTGGGACAAACAGACGAAAGATTCCCTTTTTCTTTACTTGAACATGACATGAGGTTCAATACAAGCCGATCAATATACAGCATCCTATGTACGATGCCGACATTTTTTCACAATGTACGGAAGCCTTTACATGAAATGAGTTATGCATTTTCATCTAGAAATGTTAATATAGTTTCAATATCATCTCTATCAGCTTCTGACAACGCTAAATTGCTAATTTTTTTTGTCAAAAAAACACTTGTACTCTATATTGTGATCACAATTTAACGGCTGTTACCATGTGTACCATTTAATAATGGCTATGGCGCGATTTTTAACGGATAGTAGGCAAAGATATATACTTTACAGATATCCGTATATGATATATACACCCAGCTTGTTTAATTTCAAGTAATGTTTTTGATTACTTAGTACTTCTGTATCTATTGATCTCAAATAGAAAAAATCTGGAAAATATACGAAGTTACTCTCTATTGAAAATAATGTATTGTAAACTGACTTCTTCTGAAGTGAGAATGATAGAACTCAGTTACTAGTCTGATGTTGACTATTGAACAAATTTTACCTGTCTTTTATTTGTTCATCAACCGCTCGGTATAAGAGTAAGTAACACGACTATGAGGTCTGGCGTTCTGCAAAGAATACAGTACTGTTTACGCAATCGACCAAATGATGCATTTTTGGAAGCATTAGTTAAATATTCAGCACCAAATATGCTATCCATTTAATAATTTATACTTTTGTTAACAATCCAGGAAGGGTAAACAACGAGATATACATCTGTTTATTGAAGATCAAAATAACAGTGATGATCCGCATTAAAATGAGAAAAAATATTTCTGAATTTGATTCTGATAGGGATTTTAGACTTTCCATTTAAAATTTCCCGTCGCTTTTTTACTTGCAACAAACCGTATTCTTGTCATTATTTTACTTTTTTTTAATATGCTTTATGAAAGAGATAAGCAATTAGAAAAAGAAGACTTTGTGCAGTTGAGAAAACATAAAAATTCAATTTTTTTTCTTCACGGGAAAAACAGTTATAACACTTAGCACATCATCAATAAGAACAACAAAAATAAAAATTCATTCACTGTCTATAATCAAATGAAAAAAAAAAATTCAACGAAATGTTTCAAATGTGTACAAGCACAAAAAAAAATCAATGATCGTTAAGTGTTTTTTAATAGACAAGAACAAATTTAACGGTAGGAATGTCTCGAGTTAATATTATTTCTTACAAACTATGTTCTTATCTTATCAGATTTCGGAGGATAGAAATCATTTGTTTCTAAATTAAAAAAATGTTGAGAGAAACCTTGACCAAGGTTACTGTATTTTCCTTTTTGATATCTAGAACATAGCTATTTTTTATCCATACAAATGAGCATATCGTAATATATATTGTTCACGTTTGAAAAGACACATATCATTGTAATCTTCACGTATTAACAAATAGTAAAAAAGTTGATAATAAATAACATTATCTGATCATCTACAAAACACCAACAGTTTTGGAGAAAAAGAAATTCAATTCAAGATACTTCAGCATTGAATCGTCGATGCATTGCTACAGGTGTTTTGGGAACAGCTCCCCAGTGCAGAGAAAGTCCAATCAGATCTTCTTGATGTCGACTATTTAAACATGGCTCTGATTGAGATCGTTGTAATCGAGGAAATATACATTCAAATTTTGATAAGGTTTCATCAATCTAAATGATAATCTCGTTTAATCAAGAGACTTTGCACTATCTACAGTTGGCGTGAGAATAAGTGAAAATCGTAGTGTCACATTAGAAGTAGTTATTCTTATCTCTGTGTAGAATTATGTTCACCGACAGAGAAAATGTTGAAAGATGATTTTCTCATGAAAACAGATCGGATTGTGTTTTATTCCTAACAGTCTCGTTTAGGAATAAATTGAAGAAATATTTTTGTTTTTTTACCTCTGGATCAAAATTGGGTCTTGCATTTGGATCAAATTCGGTAGATTTTTTAATTAGTTCAATTATTTGAGGTGGTGTATCATCTCGACATTGTTCAACTGTTAATTTTAAACGACCTTTTCCCACTAACCACATAATCTAAATGATGAACAAGTATTAATTATTCTAAAAAAAAAAAAAAAATTTTACAACTTTACCTGTTCTTTATTGCTAGTAGGACTGTGTGGTAATTTTCCACTAAACATTTCATAAACTACGCAACCATAACTATATACATCGGCTTTGGTCGAATAGCAGTTGGGATCTTTTTGTTGTATGACTTCTGGTGACTATTTTAAGAAAAAAATCACAAACAATAATGAGTTAAAGAATGTAGAAATAAATTCTGTACTCACCATCCATAAAACAGAACCGGTTGGTTGAAATTGTGGTATTGTTCCTTCAACAAGAACTGTTTTCACTGTTGCTAAACCAAAATCGCCAATTTTCACTTTCCAACTGCCTCCAACATCATCGTGTTCAGCACACATATCAAGAAAAATATTACTCGATTTGAGATCTCGATGAATAATTTCACGATCATGAAGATATCTAGAGAGAATAAAGCGTAAATATAAATAAATCGTCTAATAGAATAAATATTATAGTTGATGAAAATTAGACATAAACTCGATTACATACGACATTCCTTGACACATTTGTCTTGCAATATCAATCAATTGTGTAATTTTCCACTGACGATCGAGTATATGAATATGCTTATGCAATGTGGAGCCTATAAAATGGAGAAAAATTAATATATACAATATAAAATAAATAAATTCTTAAACTTAATCATATTTGATAATAGATACCATTATCTTACCTTCACACCATTGAGTTATTATAGCAAATCGAGGATTTATGACATAGCCATAAAAATTTAAAGTATTTTGATGAGTAATTTTCTTCAATGCTAATACTTCATTTTTGAATGCTTGTAATTGAGCAGTTGTTGGATCAACAAAATTTAATTCTTTCAAGGCAACATGACCTATAAAGAGAATTTATATTAATAAAAAAAATCAAATAATAACAATATATCAATATACCGTGTAATCGAACTTCAGCTTTATATACAGTACCTAAAAATAATTATACATATTTAATAATGGATTGAAAAATGTTAATAATCTTACCATAAGTTCCGCGTCCGACCATTCGCCCTCGATGAAGTACATCATCTGGTCTTATTTCCCATTCACTGACATACTTCTAAAATACGAGAAAGAAAGAAAATTACACTCAACAATAGTTCATTTCTTTTGTTTTATCAATTCGATTGAATTTATATAAATCAACCATCTCAAATCTGTGTCATTTACTTTAATACTTGGTCGTCTTGTATCACTAGGACTGTTCGGTGTAGAACCATTTCCTGCTAAAAATAGAAATAGAAATAAAAATAAAAATAAAGAATTAATATTAAATCAAATCAAATTATAAAAAGAAAATAAAGAAAGAAGATCAGTTTAATCCAAAAAATAAAAACTAATTCTAATAGTAAAGAGTTTTTTTGATGGTGACCTAAACTACTTCAACAAAATAAAGCAAGAATCTATGTGAAAAAAGTAGCAAATATTCCATTCGAAGAAGATAAATATATTGTGCATAAAAGATTGAAGGATTTATTCGCTTAATAATATTTGATTCTGCGAGCTAAACGTAACGTTATACTAAATAATATCTAATTAATATTGTGGAATAAGAAAAGTGTGCATTAGCAGAACTATTACCATTAACAATCTTCATCAATTATGTATACTTAAAATTTGTTTTCGTGCGTCTGTACGACAATAACACTATTTTCTTACTATCTTTTTTTTTTTCGTGTATTCATGTAAAACAATAAATTGTGCATAGGAAGAAGATGTGAAATAGAGTGATTATAAAACTGCGAATCAGATTAAAAATAAACAATAATAATCATAATGCACCCAAAAATATTCACACAAAGAATTAAATTCTAAATTTAAATTAAAGATGAGCGTGTGATCATTCCAAAAAAAAGATTAAAAGAAATTAAAATACAAAAGCAAAGGCATTGCATTTTATTTTATTTTATTTATCTTACACAATAATAATTGTGGTATATTCAAAAATTTTGAGGTGGATGTAGGTAATGATGATGATGTAATAGTTTGTGGATGAAATAGTGAAGATGCGGATAAAGATGTCGAAATAACTGTTGTTGATAAACAACAGGATGTAGAAGAAGGAGGAGATAGAAAACTAGTGAGTTTTCCATGATTTTGTTGTTTTTGTACTTGTTGTTGTCGATAATTAATATAATCATTAGTGTTTACTTCCTTATGAATAGTAGAAGTAGTACCTGTAAAAAAATTAGTTTAAAATAAATATTAATTAGGAGATAAATTTTTTATTACACCAAAAAATGAAACAATATGGAACCATTAACCATTAAAATTATTTGTAATAGGATAGAAGAAAAAAAAAAATGGATACCAAAACTAAAAAATTTTTTAATTTTCATTTAACAACGTCGCACCTAGACTATACCTACGGTGCTGCATGTACAGCAAAATCGTTTGAAAAATGAACGCATATATAGACATAAAATAAACAAGATGTTCAGTACTTTTTTTTGTTATCGTATAAACAAGTAATTAAAGAAATTCTTTTGTTTACTTACTAGTGGCATTTGTTGTTGGAATACTAGGTCTCTAGAATAGAAAAAACATTTTTTCAATAAATTTTTAATTATATTAAAAAGAGAATATTTTATACTAACTGTCATGGGAATTCTTGGAAGGCTACGAGATTTTGTCGGTATGATAATATTAAGATGAGAATTTGTAACAGATGAAAATACACGATCATTATTATTTCGATCTAAATCCGAGTGACGATTTATTTGTCTAAATAAGAGAAAATCGAAATAAGTATAATTTGTATAAGACAATCGGATACCTACTGTAAGAATGGCATCGAACAAATATAAGCTTTTATTGAACATCGAGGATGATAAGCATTATTACATGAACGACAACGTACATAAGCTTCACGTATTCTACGCGTACAATGAACACATCGGATACCGGTAATCAAAGGAAATCGAGGTGATGGTACACGATCCTATATACAAACACGAATTTACAACACATAAAGCATTTTAAATTTATTATAAAAGAAATAATAGCTAATAGTATTTACTTTTGGAAAATAGAGAAATAGTATTAATGACTTGATTTCTCATTATAATTGTGAACGAATTATCTGATTTGACAGAGAAATTACTTATGAGATTTCAATATATGAAATTTATTTCACTCCTACTCGAAAACGTGGAATGTAATAAATATGCGAACACGTACACGAAAAGCATAGCAATATCGAAACAAAATGGTTGCTGAAGGTATTATACCCGAAAAACATATCTTGTCGAACAAATCGACATAGATGAGATTTATGTATGCAACGTGCATGAATTCTATAACCGCATACTAGACAACGTAAACCTTGAAATAATAGTTTATGACATGTGTCGCAATATGTCAATGTAAAAAATGTTTTACGCACCTAAACAAATAGAAATGTATTGTTTCAACGAATAAAAATACTAATTGAACATATGTTTGCTAATTTACGATAATTTTACTCACAAATGAATGATCTAATTTCTTTTTTTCTTCTAAAATAATTTCTTTTTCAAGTACATTCTCTAATATAATATCCCATGAACACGTTTGCCTTTGAAAAAAAGTAAATAGATGCATGTTTCATAACTTCTTCAAGCAAAATCATATTTTACCTTGATATCATATAAACAGGTATATATGCTCGAAGATTTGTCACTGAATGCATTGTTGCTTTTAATTCAAGTGCTTTCTCTAATGTTTGATCATTACGTGGCGCAAGCTTAATAAATAACAAATTTATCAATAGTAAATGTGTTTAAAAGCAAACGTAATCAAATGACTTACTGCTGTTGTATGTTTATTTGGAAAATGAACACGAATAAAATTATTTGGCGTCATACTTGGACTTCTTGATCTTGTTTGAGACGGTGGTGTAGGTAGAATATTTGACGTAGATGATGTTGTTGCATTACTTGACGTTCTCAAATTTGGATAATGCTGTGGTGATTGTTGATGAACAACATCATTATCGTGAGATATATCCTGTGTATTAGACGTGGAATATTTTGAAGATGGTGGTGGATCGATAATAATACTTTTTGGATTAACGATATTCGCATTAGAGATGCGAGTAGTGATAATATCGTCATTGACAGGAAAATGTGTTAAAGAAGGTGGCTGGATATCAACTACAGTAATTAGATTTGAAGAATAGTTATGATATGGAGCATTATGATTACTATTGTTGTTGTTGTTATTATTGTTATTCGCGTTATAGTTCTCATTATGGGAAAATGGAAGATGATTTTGTGAATCATGAAGATATTCGGTTAATGTATCTCGTGCTTTTGTTAGAATATCGATTCGATCGGTTAATCGTTGAAATTCCTAAAAAGTAGAGCTTTTCTATTAGTCAATCTAAATAGAAGTAAACAATGTACAGGTCAACGAAGCTTTTCGATATTTAGAACTAGTACAACTTGATTGTCCATCATTCTAGTTACATTCAATAGAAGAGAGAGACAACAACGTCATCGAAGACTCAGGAAAAAAGATAAAAAAGGAAGGATTTTACTATTTGTGCAATTAATTCTTACCTGCATATAAAATGGTGGACGACTGTCACGAAAAGCAATATTATATTTCTCAACATCTGATGTTAAATGTTTTAACATTTTCATAATATCTTCAAGCTAAAATGTAAAGATATATCAAATAAACATTTTGTACAAATGACTTTGTGTGTTTTTATTAACTTACAATTTCTTTACATCTTTCGGGTGTTGTATGTTTTCCATCTTCAACTTTTCCTAATATCATTCGACGAAAACTTTCTTCTTGATTTGATGAAGATGGTTGATGAAAACTTGTTGACGGTGGATGCAATTGATGATCCATCTCAGGTCGACGTTTAGTTTGAACAACAACCATAGCCGACATGGGACACAACAAAATAAAAACGAATAAATATAAAAAATTAATAAATCATCACCAAAAAATAATTTCTAAAACAATTAACAACATAAGAAATCTACACGTAAATTTACATTACTCATTTACCTATTTGTTATCTTTTTCAAAAACTAAAAATCAAACAATAAAACAGCATCTAGATTTTGATTGTGAATATAAACAACGTTATCATATTGAAATCAATTTCAATAATTTATTAATAAGAAATAATTTTATATTCTTCACAAGCTAAGATAGAGAATAACTATCTAGGCTATATATAAAGTATCTAAAATATGATAAAAATCTTATCAGAGCAGTTCCTTATCGGACTAAAATGGTGAAACTCCTCAAAAGTTGTTGAGTAGTTTAAGACGATGTGACCACCAGGAGGAGGAGGAGGTGAAAAAAATGGACAAAATCAAGGGCTTTCGATTATGAACTTCAACTCTTCTTTCTTTCGCAGATATCGGGAGAGTTTCATAAAATTCAATACAATTTAAATGAAGATTTTTAAAAAAATACTGTTCAAGATTTGTGCACTTACGCGTTCCAACCTTTTTTGCCAAAAAAGCAAAATTTCATTACATTTTGTAAATACACAATTTTTAGAAACCTATTCAATTGAAATATAAAACATAATTATTTTTCATGGAAACTCCAGAGGTTGAGTCCTGATACAAGTTTATTACTCCAAACCATAGTATAAAATAAAACTGACAACTCTTACTTAAGAAAATAGTGAAATATTAATTGAATTGTTTTTTGTTTTTTTATTGAGGTCAAAATATCCTTTTCCGTGTATCGTGTATATTTTGTCAAAAAGAAAAAAACATTATATAATTCAGCTAGATTTTCATATTCAATCTAACTACAGATATTATCATCATCAATTCAGATTAATAAAGTGCACGTATATAGTCTAAAAAGAGTCATATGAACAGATATAAACAGCTACCTTATTAGGAGAAATAAACCCTATAAGAGGACATCCATCTAGAGTATAAAAATATGCTTTTCATATTTCGCGAATAAAAACAGAAAAAGGAGAAAACAGCTAAATAGTTAGGTCCATTCACACATGTCAGACACTCAAAACAAAACAAAAAAACGAAGAGAAAACTACATAAAGAATGAAAAACAAAAAGGAATGATAGCATAAAGTATTTATATATTCAAGTTCTTTACATATTTCAAACCGAAAACTATTTGTCTATAAAAGAAAACGATTATTTTATATTTATATCTCTCATTTTACATTAACAAGTCCTTAACAAGTCAACGCTTTGTTCAAGTCCAAAACGCAACTTTGCTTACTCAAATTCACTTTTTCGTGAAAATACTTGATATCTCAAACGACATGGAAAATTTTTCTTTTTATACGGTATTGATTAAAAAATTTATAATTTATCAGACGTCGAATATTAATGAAAAAGCGGTAAGAGAGAGAAAAGACCTCTGAGAAGTACAGTTTGAAATTTTGAACAAGATTTACAAATCTAGATAAAGGAACTAATTCATATGAAATAAGTTGCTAACGACTGTATAATATTCTATAACATCACTTTTTAAAATCTGTAATAATTGTTTAAAAAATCTGTCAATTTTACCTGTAAATGGAATAATATTTAGAATACTAAAGTTTTTTTAAGAAAAAAGAGACAACAATCAGTTGTTCTAAGTGTACTATATCAATATGCTAAAGCAACAACTAAACTTTTTTTATGTGTTGTTACTATTGTTACTACTACGATAATGATGATGATGATGATGATGATGATGATGATGATGATGATGATGAACGTTTTTTTTATGTATTTCAAAAAAAGAAATGATATACCGAGAACACGCACATATAGAATTTCTCGTACAAAAACATATTTTATGAAACAATTAGTACTTTTTTTTTTGTTTCTTTCTTCTGTCGTTCAGTTCTTCCTTCTTCTTTTTTGTTGTCGTCGCTTCATGTAAATTGCATAACGATTCATTCTCTCTAGATGGTATAAAAAACCGTAAAATAGAAAAGAGGAGAAAAACCTTGAGATGATCCAGGCCCCATGTTACTAATGCACAAGAGGACATGCGACACTCGAATTGAGGTTCCTACGTCATGAATATTAAAAAAAACACAGAAAAAGAGAAAAGAAGAAATAATAATAATGATGATGCTGTCAATAATGAGTAAAACGTGTAAAGACCCCAAAACGTCGTCATATTATTATACCTGGAAAAAAGTTCGAGGTATCGAAAATAAATTAAACAGTCTCGTTTTCGTTTTTTTTCAAACAAAACAAAACATTGCCTCGACTACAATAGACAATAGATTAGTACAATATAAACTACAAACAGACTTTTTTTTTTCTGTCATGTACTTCTATACTACCATGTGATACAGAAGTAAAAAATTTTATATAAACATTTAACAAACTCAATTCACCTTAGGTAAAACAAGGAATTTAATTTCTCTTGACATTGTGTCAATGACATAAACACTACTAGACAGTACGTTGACTATCCTTCGTAACAGAATCCTTGTAAAAAATAGGAAATAAAAACAAGTTTCGTCTACTACTACTATAGCAAAAACCTTGTATTTAGACTATATAATAATTTGAGAAGGAAATAAATAAAAAATACTATTTATTTCTCTTAGTATTAGAATTTGTAATTATTAAATCATACAAGAATAAAGTGCATACAAATGATCTTCAATATAGAACAAAAAAATGAAATGTTTAGTGTATTAAATGACATTATACTCATTCTTTAATTCAATTCTGATTAATTCTCATAATATACAAAAAGTCATTTGGATCCAACCACTGGCGGATCCAGCCAGCGAACGGCCGCTCGTATCTCAAGAGTAAAAAAATAATTTTTGAGCAGCAAAACTGCCTCAAAAAAACTATGTTGCAAAGGCGACCGCACATACCTCGTATTTCCCTTACCTAGTGCATGTACCTAAGAAAAATTCTAAATCCGCTACCGAAGCCAACTTTCTAATGACTAGCTTCAATCTACTTCTCGTACATATAAAAGAAACAAAATGAGCTGAAACGATATAAAAAAATTCTTTCCACAGGTTTATGAGATAAACCCATTTAATTTTAACTGTTTTTTTCGATCAAAGATAGCATTCGAATAAATTAACTAGTAGACATAGCGAATGAGAAGAGAGAAAAACTTAGTATATTACTGATCTTCACAATCGTAAGACAATGATGAGAGAGTTCCTATAAGTCGGTTATCGTTCAACTCATACGCATACTAAATAGCGAAAACGATAGACTTTTATTTCATTTTAAGTACTAATACCCCAGATTAACTAGAGATTTGATTGAGTTTGTTATAAATAAAAGCATATCTTCTGACTTCTTTTGTAAGAATGACAGAGGGTGCGTAAAATGACTTTCTGTCTGAGATGACTTAAACATTATCCCTTCTCCTGTTCTTACGTGCATTCTTTTTAACTTTCTCACGTTCAAAACTGTATCAGTTCTATTCCATATTGGTCTGATTCTAACCTCATTTCTCTAAAAGTGTTCTAAAATCTTTTCATTTTCTTAAAATCATTTGTATTTAAATGAAGTGTCTCTCTCTGTTGTTTTTTCCGTTCTGTCTTGGTATTCTATTTTTGCATGATTTAAGGCCGAATGAGCATGCCAAAGATGTTGGTCTTACTTGTTAACCTAAAGTAGGGTCAATGGGATGCGTCGAGTGACAGTTCTTTCTCTCTTTCGGTTCTTGTCTCGATATATGTACTTGCTTCTCATGTTATCTCTCATAATTTAGATTATCGTTCTTCTAGCTCTTCACTTGTTTCAAAATTTTCCCTTCCAAACCTTTTTCTCTCTCGTAAATATTTTAGACTCGTACAATTTTAAATTTATCCTCATTTTAGTCCTCCTTACATCCATTACGCATTTCATCATCCATCCTACTCTCCTGTGTTATACTAAATATTTCGCATTTTTCACCTCCTGTTAATGGTTTTTCTCCGCTGATCCTTTGTTCTCTCTGTCACTGACGAGAATGAACTGTAGGATCAGTTATTCGTTCTTTATCTTTTAATTCAATTGAAAAAAGCTTTATCTCAACATCTTTTACAGCAAAATTCACAGATGTTGAACTTTACAAATGTTTAATTAAAGTATGGCTATATAGTAGGTTTATTTCACTTAAAACTTCTAAATTAGCCGAAACGAAATGATAATTTTTCTTATTTTCGTCGCTCTTCATATTACTCAGTTGACAGCCAGTCTTGACTTCGTGCTAAACTTATTGTTAATAGAGAGATGCTAGAAGCAGATAATACCTTTTTTCTATACAAAGGTCACAATGATCGCACTATGAGTTCTTGTTCTAAATAAGTAAATGACAGTCTATCTATTGTGTTAACTATCATTCTGACATGTCATAATCAGCGTTGCCAGATGCTTAGGTCAGAAAAACGGAATAAAAAGTCGAAACAGCGGAAAAAAACGGAAATTTTTTGGCGGAAACGCATTTTTCACCGTATTAGTTCATTTTTCACCAAACGCAACGGGTAGTTAGCAAAACAAATTTTTCTAGCGCTTTATGATGGTTCCCCTTAAGAAACATACAAGAATTATAAAACGTCATTTAAATTCCAATTTGAATCGATATTGGCTTTTTGTAGATGCGCGTTTTTGATCAGCCGTCATAAATTTCAAGAGTTATGTATGGCAGAATAAAATTTAATTTGAAACTTTCCCGCCTACGACAAACACTTAATGGTTAAGAGTTTCTGGTCGAGTTGACTTCCTTGAAGATTTAGTATTTCACTATTTTTCGCACTCCCTTTCAGCAGCACTTGAGACAAACTAATGTTTTTCTGTTACCGCTCACTCCCAGGGCAAATTTCTGATTTAGTTCCTAAAACAGTGCGAATTTGTTTTATAAAAGTTGCAAAAGCATTGTTTCGACTAGTCATTCAGCCGATAAAATTTTTATGAGAAAATGTAAAAACCTTCATTGCAGGAAAAAGTACAAAAACAAAAAATCCTCGAAAAGTGGACAAATTGCGGACACTTTGCGGGAAAAAACTACATAAAGAAGAATCTGTCCGCAAAATGTGGACCATCTGACAACTCTGGTCATAACGCCCGTCTAAAGGTGCAGTTTTATAATCACTATTTGTGGATGACATGTTTGAACACAGGGAAATAGCTTACGTGGATGGATGATAGCGCACATAGTATAAATCGCGTTTAGTAGGGGATAACTTAGGCGTAAAATTCTACTATCGATGCATTTTTTGCTTTGCTTGTAGAGTTTCGTGCTTAAGACCCCCTCAGAAATCGATGATTTTCTTAAAAAAATCGAAATTGAGTTTACTGCTTAGTTAGGTACTCTGACGTCTTCTCTTTCAGAATCTGTGTCGCTTTCAATAAAAAAATAATAGTTTTTTATACGTTTTTGAGAGATATTAGATTAACCCTTACGTCTATTGCTACAATGATCTTCAAACATGTTTAATGTGTAGAACAAAAAAGTTTTTTCCTGACGAGGGGCCACCTTAATGCTTGCGTGTAACTTTCTTGTTTTTTATTTTTTTATTTTTTTATCTCATAATTACAGCTTAAACAGTTGTCAGATGTTGTCATTACCTGCTAATTTAATTGGCCGCCGTGAAATTTTCATTTCTATTTTTCCAAAAAGTAAAACTTGCACTTTTATTGACCAAAAATGTAGCAAATCAGACGGAGGTGATAGATAGCGTTCTACGCACACAGATTAGAAAACTTACGTTTACCACGAAGAGCTGAAGTTTCAGAAATTTTCTAGATTTAGCGTAGATTCAGTTAGATTCCTTAGATATTTCATCAAGGCTATACTTTTTCTTTTTAACATTAAGATTATACGTGTTCGATACGTTCGACACCACCGCGTTAAGAACAATGTGGTTGCAGATAGACACTAGCTTTTTATGCCTATAGACTTCTAACTTCTGACTATAGATCCTCTTCTTCGTTATCTTCAACGATTTATCCTTTTTATTCCCTGTAGAGAAAGGTTTCGTTGTTATCCAGCAAACTTTTGCATATCTTCAACAGATGACATCCATCTTAACAAGTTCTGGATCTATCTCTGACTTTTTCCTACACTATTCGAAAAATTGATGAAAATTACATTTGATCAATTGTAGAAGGAATCATTTTCCTATAGAAATCATCTTCATCTACGTTTATTGTAATTGATTTTAAAATTAATTAGGTGGTTTTTTTGAATTCACGTGAGATTGTGTTATTCATAACGTAAATAAATCGTCTCGTGTCTCAGATTTTAAAAACTTTCTTATTTTTATTCATCAGTTTGATTTTGAGCTATTGTACCAGATATGTATATATTTCGATAAATAGAAAATCAGAACCATTATCCTCAAACACGATAGAAAGCTTTAAATACTAAAAAATGGAAGTAACTGTCTGTAGTTCTCTTTGTTGTTTCGTATTTACACATGCTATTTATACTTAACACGATCAAATGCAACATAAAAGTGTTTATCTAATTCTCCAGTTGTCGGATTCAATTCACAATACCCAATCGGTCCTCGTTCACAATTCGAACACATCAAATATTTGACGTTATTATTAACAGTTTTAGAAAATCCAACATTTTCAAATGTGAACATATCGTTTACAAGCCAACAGTAAGCAACAGAATCACACAAATGATCATTAACATTTATCGGTATAGAATTACCATTTGATGACGGAGTAGAAGTCTTTTTCATGTCCATTTGGGGTAATAAAATATGTTTTTGTTCATATTTGGCTGTTTTTGGACGGAGAATAATATCTTCACAATACAGACACACAATTGTGTTTAAATTTTGTTCACCAATTAAAAAATTTATTTCATTATTGTCTTTACTATCCATAGATAATAAATTATCGTCGATTTGATTATTATTGACAGATGAAGTATCCATCTCTGTATTTCAATAGTAATTCGAGCTAGCAATGTACATTCGAGAATAGTTAATCTAAAAAATCGAGTTTAATATCAATCAAAAATCTTTGCAAACTATGAATGAAGATTTTGGTTAATCTAAAAGTAATCGTCAACATGAAAAAATTGAAGTATAATCGATGACAGCAATACAAAGTGGTAGAAATGTTCACCGCTTATGATAACAGAAAATTGAAAAAATTTTCTGTTATCATCGCCGTTAACATCTCTATCTATGATTACCTTTTTAACGAATTGCCTAGGGTTCTACTCTATTCGTAGTGCTAAGAAACACTCTATTTCTCTAGTTACTCAGTGAAACTTCGCTAATTAATCACCCAGAGGATGACAACTCTCTCTCTCTTTCTTAATTTTAAAGGATATTTCTTGTTAACAAAATATTGCATCTAAAAAGTTTTGTAATAGTCGATCAAATCTTTACATTCGATCAGCTAGATGAGTAGTTGCATTGAATCAATTTTATCATAGCATATGTTTGTTATTGCGATTGATCTTCTAGCGAAGAGCGTCGAGTGTCTGAATAAGATACCTTTTAGTAGGCTCACACTTAAATTCATTTTTTTTTCTAAATAACTACCATCATTTGTCTCGACGGCACACTTTTAGAAAGAATAAAAAATTAAAAAAACAGTTCACTTAACAACAAAATCAGAAAACTTATGCTCGTCGAATGAAGAATTCACGAACGTTTGTAATTGACTCTAATGGGCATCAAAATAGAACAGATCTCATGTAAAAAATTGAGATAAAGATGTCTCACAAGATAAAGCGTTTGACAACAAAAACTCTCGATCAAAACAGTGATAAAAAGGGCATATAAACAACATAAACAAAACGAAAAAATATCAAAATATATTTATTATTTTTTTCTACCTCTGATTTGCTTACTTGACGTTCACATTGTATGTGAACGTGTAACCCATCAAATCAAAATTGTCCTGAACATTTTCATGGATATCACACCAAATTTATAATAATAACTGACTTGTAGTATGAGTAAATCTAGTATTCATCGATTTTATATCATCAATTTTCTGTCCTTACCGATCGTCAAATAGTCCAAATATGAAAATACGAACAGAGTGAAAGGTGAATATAGACCGCAGTTAACATGATGCAAAAACGACTAAAACGGCCAGAAGGCATATCTTGAATCACTGTTATTGAAAAATCACTAATTCTTTTAGAAAAACTGTGAAACTTAGAAAATACAATTTTTCTAACTATTGCACTCGATACAAAAAATACATTTGAAGTATCATAAATCCAAGACCGTTGTTATTGCTTGTAGAAAATCGTTTTAAGATATTATTTTTGTTTCTTGTGCTATCGTGGACAGTATTTGGACGGTATTGTACCTGTATCTGCCAGTATCTGTCCATTTAGTCAATGATTGTGTTAATTGTTTTAACTTTAATGGTACAGTCAATGTAATGATTAATTCGCTATTGCCCAGCTCAATTAATGATAAACGTAGTTTAACTAATTATGGTTAAGTTATTTATGATTAACCTATTAAGTTATTTATTGAATTAAAGAACTCTGTTTGACAAACTGCTTGCTTATTGCAAAACATTAACAAACAGATTTGGTTCCTTTAATTTGTACAAATATAAAATACCTAAAAGTGTGAATATAATAGTTTGGTTTAACAAGTATTGAACAAATATTTCGAGCATATTGCATCGATCAACTATCGCTAATTCTTTAAGGACGCATTTGTCTCATCATCCAGGAATAAAGAAGAGTGTTAACTATCAATAAGGAAGAAAAAGTTCAACGTTGGACAATTGACGGTCAAAAAAGCAATGCTGCATTCCTAAACAACAACTGCTTAATTGTGAAGATTAGAAGAAACATCGTTTTAGCATCAAGAAAAAATTTGTGTAAAAGGTTAAACAAAAGATTTTTTTAATTATGTGAATTGTCTAGAAACATTTGTTTCTATAACGAGAGATTAAAACAAATTATCGTTGAAAGTTGAACTAGCAATTTAATGCAAACAAAAACATGAAGCTTTTACTATTGTCTTGAAGATGAAGAAAATTGATATTCCATATCGGTTCAGACTCAAGTTATCTATTGAACTGAGCATTGTACGATGTAATCTTTCGACTGCTAATTCAGAAAAAACTTCTTTTTATTTGTTCATAAAAAAATTTACATAGACAATATTTGATATTTTTTACTAACATTTATTTATGGAAGTATCAAAATAGAAGAGACACACAAAAGACACAAAACAGTCAATTTATCAAATTGACAAAAATTGAGCAGACAAAAGTAGCGACTATATTACAGAAGGCATATCTAAAAGTTTATCTGACATGTCTGAAGCAAAAGTAAACCAAGAAAACTACACTAGAAATCACCATCAGCAACAACAACAACAACAAAAGAATTTTTTATGTCAGCAAATTCTAAAACAGCAGAGTAGAGAAAAGAAGAATAAAAGTGAACGAAAAACATTACACTTTTCTAGAAGAGTACAATATTTTATCTGACATAAAATACATTTTACTCGCAATCATGACGATTAATCGTTGATTTGTTGCCATTCATTTTGTCCACGCACACTTTAGACAATAAGAACAGTCAAAAGATTTGCTTCGAATCGCCTGATATTTTTCCTACAAACATGCCTAAGCCAAAGTGTCAAGAGTTCAAAAGAAAAAATATTTTAAACAGCCCAGTTTGTTCAACTTCATTCATCATCATCGAAATGTCCAACATCAATTAATCCAATATCGCAATCTAAATCAATAATCGTGTTATTATTATCATCACTGCCATCAAATATTCTCTCTTTTGAAGCTAATAATGTTGGTGATGGTAAGCCTCGTATTGAGTTTTCATCATAAATATTATAATTGCTTATATTAACACCTTGAAATAGTGGTAATATTCGTTCGATACGTTCATATTCTGGTATTAAATCATCAAATGTATCTTCTTCACGAGGACATTTATGTGATAAATCACAATCATTTGGATCAAGTAAAACATTTTCATCATCATCCACCTGTTGTGTTGTATTCGATGTTGATTGTTGCTGTTTTTTCATCGGTGCTGATAAAGACACAGATGAATCAGATGACGATGATAGGAAAAAATCGTTCATACTAAATGGAGTATTATGATTAATTGAAGCTAATGCACGACGTGAAGACGATAGAGGTGTTGTTGTTGCTGGTGTACGTAATGGTGTTCGGTTGTTGTTATTATTGTAAACATCATTATTCGACGAAAATTTTGATAATTTTTTACTTGAATACGATGGTAGGTCATTTAATGTTACCGACGATAACATCCCATGAATAGGAGTACGTAATGGTGTTCTTAAGGGTGTTTTGAAAAAATTGAAACTGTCGCTATTTTCCTTTGTTCGTGTTGCTGCCATAGCTGAATTTGTAAATCTACAAATAATGGAAAAAAAAGCCTTTCTCATTTTCACTAGTGTATAAAACTACTGTAGGACACTCGTAAGTCGACAAAATATTATCCACATGTATTCTATGCTATAATGTCAATTAAAATTGAACAAACAAAAAGCGCACAAAAGTATAGTCTAATATGATAACAACTTTTTCTGTACTATTGAATTAGAAGCCAGGATGAAGTGCGGCGAAAAGAATCATAATTTAACTAAAACAAATCAGATAAATTAATATATCTGAGTCTGATACGAAGTCCTTAAAAACATCGATACGTAATGACGAAAAGTCTGATAATTCACAAGTGTCCAACACATAATGGTCGTGAATAAATACTACTACAAAAAACGTCGCTAACTTATCACACCTTTTTGAACAGAACCCTTTGATTGCTTCTTTCTAGATAGAATATAAACGAAAAACTTAGTTATAACCCCTATAATAAAATAGTAAACTTTCGCCTTTTCTCTTCACGTGGGACTACAAAAAATTCTCTGTATACATATATGGGAAGAGAGATATAATACCCTATGTATTAGGCCGTCAGAATAAAGAAAAGTGACGACTACAAACCACAATTTTCTTTTTTGCTACTTTTATTTGACTTATTCTTTTATAACTGCTTATTTGTGCAGAAACGTTATACACATTGCAGTCGTGCAGTAGTTTACAGGATCTTTGTAATAAAAAACGTTTGAAAAAATCAGATAATCGCGACAAACAAGTTCAGCATTGCCAGTGATTCCAGTGGTTGTTCCAATTACAAATGAAAAAACGAATGAAAGAAAAAACGAACAAAGGAAGGAAAATGTATTCTGTACACTAGCGCCCCCCCTCGCTTACGATAATTCTCGTATTTTATTAAACAGTAAAGGTAATAGAAGGACTTTTTTTTTGTTCACGTATTTCAGGAACACTATGTTTAGAGTCTTAATGATATGCGACTGAGAGAGAGAATTTGGCATGCACGAGTTATAACCGGTATATGACCTAGCTAAGCCTTAATTCTTATCCCACAGCGATCGTTCTTGTGAATTGTCACGTTATCATAACCAGAAGTTATCACAACATTCCAAAAGACCTTATAAAACCGTTTTAAGTCTAAGAAGGTTGCACAAGATGTTGTTGAGAAATACTGAAAGATCACACGACAACAAACTTTATTAAGAATCACTAATGACTGGCCCAAGATCCCACAAAATTATATGACTTCTTATTGTAGGATCGTGGAAGGCCTTACCCATTCGTTTACACTGGTTTTGTAAGAGCACATAACTTTTATAAAAAAGTGTAAAACCTTTCAAGACTTTTTTCACCTGAGATAAAAGTTCGACCTTCAGATTGTCCACCAGAGATACCCATGAGATAATTTTGTCATCCGAACGAAAGTTCAATGCGTTCAAAGGAAAATTTATGAAATAACGAGCTCTAACGCTCTGAAAACAAAATTTTTACCCATTCCAACGTGTTCGAGAAACAAGGATAAACTAATGCATTAGAACCCGTGATTTTTTAAAAATTTCATTTAACACGCGTTTCAGATCGTTAGAATGTGTTACAAATATTTGAATTTAAAACTCTTTCAAACGCATATTCTATCAATTTTTGATTAAACCAGTGAGTCACCGCCTAAATTGTATTTCCCGGGCTCTGCTGGAGCCGTCTCCAACCTCACAGAGGACTGCACTTCGAATATCTCATACCACACTAAAACTCAATATGTAATTCAACGTAGGATCATGAAATTCCTCGTAGAATTCTTGATTATTGCAAACAGATGATCAAAACTGAAAATTTTGTAAGTCTTTCTCTTTCTGTAGGAGGTCGTTAGTCTAGTACTCAGACACAGTACCAAGTAGACTAGAGATGTGCAGGGTAACTTTTTACCGAGCCCTTGCCCTCTCCTGTGAAAAGTTTTTGAGCCCTGGCTCTACCCTACCCTTTGAATATTAGAGAATTTTTCATTTACAATTATTTCTTTTTTTTTATTATTTCTTTGTTCTTTTTATACTGCCAATTGCACCGAAAATGGGTGTCTTGTATCCGATAAAATAAAGAGTTTAAAATAACTGTCGCTAGCGACCGACCTCAATGTTGTACCGACGATATATCTCTTTTAGACGAAGCCCTGGCCCTACCCTACTCTGTGGTTTTGAAGCCCTAGCCCCTCCTTACTCTAATGTGTTAGAACGTGTACAGCATGTTCCCACGCATGTAGAAAGATTGATCAAGTTTAAAGAATTTTAACTGGAACAAATTGATTTGACCGACTTCATCGCGTTGTAACACAACATATTAGAATGTAATTTTCTGCCACTTTTTTTCCCCGTACTAATGCGTTCGACAATTCGCACACGTTCAACGTACGTTTCTAGTTTTCAAAATTGGCGAATGTGGAAATGAACGTCTTCATGAAGTTAAACATCTCTCCAACATGTGTGCACACATGTTGGAGAGATGTTTAACTTGTTTCAATATGTTGGTAAAAATTTTTGAATGCGCTCTAGCTGGTTTAATATTTTTTTCCAAACGGGTCGGAACTTTCGTTCGAGTGATAAAATTATCTCATGAGTGGTCTCACGTGCATAGCCAGTCGATTTTTTATTTGTGTTCAAAGTTGATGAAAATCACCATTTTCGCAATGTCTTGCCGTGATCATTGTCGATTTTTTAATAAAAACTATTCGATAAACTTGGCTTGATAAACTAAATATCTGTACATTTATATTACTTGATGAAACACATCTTATAAGATGTTAACATAATGTCTTGTAAAATCTTTTGACATCTTTTTATAACATCTTACAAGATCGTACAGGAACATATGAAATCCTGCTGTGTGTTTTTAGGGCCTTCAACGGAGCGAGACTCATCGTACCACAAAGATTTTGCTACAGGATATAGGATAAGGATATAGTCAAGACGCATTTCGATCCTGTCCTGTTTGACGAACAGCCCAAATGTGAAAGCTTTTTTTACAAATGGTAACGGTACTTATCGGTACCAGCCACAAACATTTAAGATCGAATTCAAGTCACTTATCGAACCTTCACAGAGTAATACGACGGTCAAGTTGATAACGGTCTCACTAAAATGCGTCTATTATCTTTCTCAGAAAAAAGTGCGTTTAAACCCGTATTTTAATCAAAATATTTCAAGTATATTTTTTGCTAGTTTCCTCTCCTTTCAATTTCGATATTAATCGCAGCGTTCACCGACGTCATCTATAAAGCAGAGAAAAGAAAGTATGTTTAGCTCATTTTTTCTCTTATCAAAATGTTGTTCATTGGTCTCATCTACTGTGACTGTTTGTACTGTAACAATTCTTGCATTGTTATAGGATGATCCATAAAATACTTATGACCATTTTCCCTGTTTTGCGGACTGACAGAGAGACATAAAACTCGTTTGTAAGACCGTAGACCACAGGTAAGAGAATTTCATTATACAAAAGTTGTATAACGGAACAAATAAGGCAGTTGAGAATTAAATAATATACTAGAACTGAGCATAGACCTATAACTTATGGCTCCCTGACCACAAATGTGCTTAACTAAACGAAAGTTTGTAGTAAAAAGAACAAATGTGTAGCATGTAGGATGGTCGACAAGGATAGGAAAAAGGGACTGTCAAGCTCAGAGAAACGTTTTTCACTAAATTATGTTAGATTTTAAAAATCATTTAGCAAATATAGTTTTGAGCAAGAATTAAAAAGAAAAGAATATGATTTCACAGTGGCAAGGATTTATTTTCGATTATTTTTTGCATCAATCAGCATTGTTATTGTTGAAGACCATTTTTGATAGAAAATATAGGCAAATTCTGACAAGTATATGAATTGGAATCAATCAAACTCTTTCTCATTGAAAGCGTCATACGTCGGCCGCGTATTTGCTTACAACGAAACGTCTTGAAGACGACGAGACATTATCACCAAGTGTACACTTTAGAAATAATAAATTCTTAATAAGAAAAGCTACCAGGTTTCTTGATATACCATCTTCGTCTCGTTTTACGCTACAGAACTGTTTTTCTTTTTAGATGGCATTTAATGATTTAAAATCACAATATATTTTAGCATTCACTATTTTGAAACACGGCGGGCCTGAAAATAAATGGAATAAGATCTCTGACGATATTCGACAGCATGTTCCAGCATCACCAGTGGTAAGTCTTACTCAAAATAGAAGAACAATAAATAAATCCTTTTGTTCTGTATTTTTAGGCATGCTTAAAGCAATACAATGAATTATTAAATTTATATGAAACTGACTGGTATGTTTATAGTTTACAAATCTTAATTTTTGTTCAGAACTCCTTTTTTTCAGGCGAAAAAGTAGACGTCTCAATGAGCCATTCTACAAATATTTATATTCAAAATTGAAGAAAATGTACTATGGCGAAATATGTGATAAAATTCAAGAAAGCCGAAAGATGATCGATGTTGTATACGAGTTTTTAAAACATTTTGGTGAAGGTCGAATCCAAATTCAAGATATCAATGATATATTGAAACAAATTGATTTTGGGTATGTGTCATGGATGAATTATGTCAGACCATTTTTAGGTCGAAAATAGTGAAAAAGAAAGTTTCAAAAGGTGAATAACGGAGGAACTTCCTTGAATAATAATCGGACTGTGAATAGCGATCAGTTATAGTTTATTCATGGCTTTTTATTTCATTCTTTTGTTTTAGTTCTGAAAATGGAGAAATGAGCAACAAAAAATTGACTGTATTCAACCAAATCAAAGATTATATGAGCCAGTCCATAACTGATCCAATTATATCAGTTAGTGAATTCGAATGTTTTTTCTCATTCTCCTAATTTTATTTTGTTTCATTACTTTTTAGAATAATCATCCTGTTATGTCTATACCACCATTCAGAGACGATAATATAACAGAAGAACCAATAAAAAACAGCGAGACATCAAAATTTGAAAGAAAGTACGAAAAAAAAGTTTTTTTTCGAAAACAGATTTACTATATCCAACAGAAAATATTGCAAATGTTTCATGAATATTCGCTACAGGGTGTTCTAAAATGTTTACAACATGTTTGTTTTGCATATGTTTCGATTTAAAAATATGATAAATTCTACCTTTTGTAAGAGATTCGTCGTCTCTCTCTCGTTCTACAAAAACACGGATCTATTGCTCTATAACCAAGGCTAAAAAATTGAAAAGCATATTGAGAAGTCTCAAAATGGTTTATTTAGAAAACAAAAGTATAGTCGGTAATAATGCATAAGAATTCTAGTTATAGGCGCAAGACAACTTTTCATGTTGATTAGTTCGATTTTCTTCGATCTTTACAGACAAAGAAATAGAACCGAAAAAAACCGTTTTGTTGAAATTGATCGTTTAGAACTTCTCAATAAGTTTTGTGTCACTTTTCACTTTTATCCTTTGTAATAGAACACTAAATCTATTTTTGGTAGAGAAATGAATAACGAATCTCATAAAAAGTGGAGATTTTATTATATTTTAGGCTAAGCTATATGCAAAACAAAACGTTGTGCGCATTCTAGAACACTCGGTATTCGTTCTAGTGAATCAGATAGTCCACCTGCAATGTTGCAGGATAACGTATGCCAGAAGGACCAGGTATTACCGAATATAGAACAACAAATATCCTCTGACATAAATGAAGAAAATGTTTTATTCGATAATAATAATAATAATAATAATAATAATATTAATAATAGTAGTAATAATAGTTGCAGCATCTTCTCGGTATTACAAGATGTTTGTCAACCACCAGTAATAACAATTGTGACAGAGGAAAAACACAACAATCCTCCCGAAATACATGCATCTGTGGTAGTTGTATCTACCATTGATAACAGTAAGGAAGAGAAATCGGTAACGAATCAAAACCAGGAAGAAATAATTAGCTTTAGTGATGTTGAACATGATGATGGAGAAAAAGAAGAGAAACAAAGTGCACAAACAATGGACACAGATGATACGATTAGTAACATGGCATTAGATAAAACGAAGGCAAATGAAGCGATAACATTTGACGAAGATAGGTCAAAGATAATGTCGGAAGATACGGAAAAAGAAGACATTGTTGAACAGCCAGAAGATAAAGAAAATGATGAATCAAATTTTTCTCTAACAGTCAGTACTACTCCAACGACTCAATCACCGCCGGAAAGTATTCAAGGCAATCGATCGCCACAATATGAAGATATTAGTAATGAATCATTAGATTTAATCGATAATAATCATCAGGAAATAACAGCACCATCAACAAGGTTAGAAAGGCGTTCATAAGTAAAATACAACATTCTTTATAAACAAAAACTGAAGTTAGTGCTGAATGTAAAGACACAAATGTAAAAAATTCTCATTAGTCGCTACTGATTTTTTGGAAGAATGATGATGTTTTATATATACTTAGAAAAACTCTGTGGTAAGCACTAAGTGAAAGTCAGAGAGAGAAAAGCAAATTTGTTATCTCATCTAATAACGCTGTCGATGCATCCTTTCATTCTTTTGATTGATTAACTGACACTCGACTGCTCAGTGGGATCAGATCTTTCTACCCTGATGCCTTTAATTCTGTTTGAAGAAAGGTTACGATAAGTTTAGTATTTATTTTGATCGTGTTTGCTTTAGTGATGATACTACTGAAAAACAATTATTGGAGGATAATCTTAGTAGAAGTTTTGACGATAATACGTCTCAGCAACATTCTATTGATGCAAATGAAGATAGCAGCGTTGTTACCGATGACAATCCAAATGATCATGTTGATGCGAATATATTTGACACATTTAGTGAAGATAATGAAAATGAATATAAACAACCGAAACTGAAGTCTCCTAAGAGTAACGTTAATCGTCCAGACATTAAAATAAAAATAATCAATCAAAAAACTGTAACAATACCGACAAAGTATGCGATTCTTCAGCAATAGCAATTTAAACAGTGGTTCTGACGTAGTTATTTTTTCATTTAGAGTAAATAAAAAAAGTCGGAAACCTATGCTCTATGTTCAAAGATCATTAGCAAATTCAAAGTAAGTCTGTTCGTTATTTTTCACGTATTTTGCGATGTTTAACTTAATTTTTTTTTCATAACTTTAGATATGGCAGTGATTTCAAAAAGCCGATATTATCGTACAATTTACCAGAGGATTATACTGATAAAATTAAAAAGTATTTGCATTTAAATTTCTTAACAAACTTTTTATAAATTAGCTTGGCTTCTTACTGTTTAGACCAATGGATTTACATCAAATAAAACAAAATATTGACGCAGGCTATTATGATGAAAAAATATATGAATTTCAACGTGACGTGATGATAATGTTTACAAATGCATTGTATTTTTATGCTCCTGGTGACGAAGTCTATATTCATGCACTCGAAACATTATCATTAGCTCAACAACTTTTACACGTGAGTCGAATATATCGATTTTATATTTTATAACTCTTTTTTTATGCAAAATCATTTTTTTGCATTTGGTTAAAAATCTGTTTTATCATTCACCAAATGGTGAGAACAGTTCCACGGTATATGCCTGCAAAACAGAGTCGTCTTCTATATTAAATTTCATCATTTATTTTCGCTTGTAGACCACACCAAATACATTGATTCCGTGGGGCGAAGAGAAATTACAGCCACAAAAACTTGTTCGTTCAAGAAGTTCAACAACGCCAGAAATTCAAATAGCAAATGAATCTCAAAATGAATTTTTAACAATATCTGCTGTAAGTAAACAAGAGCCAGAGAATATGGACGAAGAGGAATTGCTCTCAACAATTATTGAGACGAAGTTAAATTCACCAACGATTGCTCCTAGACAACCATCTAGAAGAACAAAACGAACAAATACAGCATACTTTGGTGATTCAAATTTGAGAAGTAAACGTAAACGAACTAGTTAATTTCGTTACGTATTTTTTGCTTTTGTTTATGTGTGTTTATGTCTTCTTCGAAACACTAGATATCGTTTATACGTTCCGTTTCTTTTTTTGACAAGAGGACAAAAAACTATTTTTATATTTGTGTTATAATTGTTATGTTTTTTCATATTTACCATTTGTATATGAATGTGTATGAATTGAGCTATTGTTTTGTGCTAGTATTTTCTTAGCATCATTGTTTTTTTTATCGTAAAGAAAAAGAAGTAATTAAAACAAACGATTTGGTTCTGTTCATGCACTTTGTTTTAAGTTTTCGCATAAAGAATAGAACTGATACAATTGAAGTGTATCTCATCTCAAACATTAGAAGAAAAACGGCAACTATTTCTTCAAGTGCAAGATGAAATAATATTAGTTATATCTTTATTTTCTTGTAGTTTGATTCGAACACTAAACTAAAAGATAATATTAATCTTTAGTTACTGACGTTAAGTTGATCACAATTGCGCTTTAGGGAGATGGAGACGCCACAAAACCCTGTCTGGACCATGTTTTTCCTGAACTATACTTTAAATGTACAACTACTTTTTCTACATTTGCCAATTGTCCGGAATGATAATTTGTGATCGGATTGTGATACTGTAAAAGTTGAACAACAGGTGATGAAGATTTCGATGAAACTTTATCTGAAATATCTGGACGAAGAGTAATGAGTGGACGTTTATTAGCGGAATATATTTTTGGCTCTTCGACGGTTATTTTATTTACAATATTGTTGTTATTCATACTATTGGGAGCAATTCTTTGAAACATGTTTGGAATAGTTGGCCCGTATATATTTGAATTTTGGTTAGCCGTTCTTATTGTACTATCGGGTCTCGTTACTTTTACGGCGGGAGTCGATTGAGCTTGTATTTCAGTTAGATCATTTTCCTTATTCTTCATTTCATTCGGTTCACTATTTACATTCATTGTCGTGTCAAGTCTAGTGTGACTGTTAGTATTTTCAGTCATATCTTTTGTATCATTCACTGTACAATGTTCTTCGGTCGGTTTATATGCAGCAATAATTTTTGTCGATTTCGGTATTCTAATTACGTCAAGTGTTTTACTTCTCTGAAATGAAACGGGAACGATTGATTTTGCCATAAGCAACTGTGGAACAGAAACTGTCATCGATTTCCGAATAAGGGCAGAGTTTTTCGTAAGATCATCTGTTACAACTGGTAAGTTGCTTTTTAGAATATCATTTTTTGTCTTCGACGATTTAAAAATGTCTATTATTTTATTTCGGTGTGCAATAATAGATTTTCCAGTTAGCATGTTTAAACTGGCTACTGACGCGGAAGTCGATCGTTGATTACTAAGGCTGTGATGTATTGTGGGTTTGGCTGTACTCGTACGATTAGCATCCGTGCTACTTTCCATATTTAAAATTTGTTTTGATGAACGACGTCTTTCAATAAGTTTTTGTGAATCCATAATTTTTGTTGATGTTGACGTTTGATCGACTAATAAACGTTTTACACAAACTATCGGCGTTTGATCAGCCACTGTATTTCTCTTAATGTCGGTATCGGAAACATGTATATTTTCGTCAGTTGAATCTTTTAGATCCGTTTGCACTTGATCTAAAAATGAAAGAAAAATCTCCTTTCGCATGATTATTTGTAACATCACGAAATTTAAGTTTTATAGAAAATAGTTTTAACTGGAGAGAAAATATCAAATTTACCTTGATTGTTCTCACTATTTGGTTGTACATGATGTCCATAACGTGGTTGACTATTTTTGTAATTGATTGTAGAAGACACAAATGTTTTTCCTGTTTCATATTGACTTTTTTTAATTAACGAATATTTCCTCATTAATTCATTTAAGACAGTAACGTTGTTTGACGTTGAAACTGTCTGTTGTGGTTGTTTTGATACGTTTTTAACGATTGATGGTGCTGTATTTGGATAATCATCATTGATATTGTTGGTGCCAGTAGTAATTGAACTCGGTATTCGATGATACGATGTACGTTTTCTAGCAGAATAATTTGAAGTTTTTCTCAATTTATTTCTATCAATATCATCGTCACCATTTGATTCAAGTTCATCATAATGAAACAGTCGTTGACGCATCACTGATGGTTCAGTTTTCGATCGTTGAAGACCTAATGATGCATTATCATCATTTGTATTTTTATCTGACATCTGATCATTACTTTTATTTTCTTCCTTATTACTCTTACTACTCTCAATTTCATCATTGTTCGACCAGGTAAATTTAATCTGTTTACGACTTTTTGTTGATTCACTTTGATTTTCTTTTTTATCATCGTCAGTTGTCATTGTCAAAATACTTTGACGACGGCTTTTGATGGTAATAATTGGTGGTATTTTTGTTTTTTTTGTTACCGATGAACTTCGTTCACCACTAGCACCATCTTTTACCGTTGATTCTCTACTCGATTGACATTCGGGTGAAAATTCTGCTTTTGGCAACCAAATTTCTAGTGAACATTTTTTCATTACATCACTTCCACCGTACGGTATATTTTCGTACGTTATCTTGTCTAACGGTGCTTTCAATGAAGTTAGTTGCGCTTGTATTTTTGATTGTGACTGTGATTGTTTTGATTGTTGAATGATATTTGATCGTGTGGATTGTACTAATGAAGAAATTAACTGCACACTGGGAAGCAGTGTATCAATTGGTTTTTCTCGTTTTGTCGCTGACACGATTCTTACTGCTGATGTACCAATATACTTTTCTAATTTTGTTCTAACAGCTATTAGACGTTTTAATGTTGGTGAATTTGGGCGTAATATTTCAGGTTTTGAACGATTTGCATTCGATGAATTATTTGAAAATGTTAAACTTGTATTAAATTTATTATCATCTTCCAATTGTTTTGTTGGTTTTGAAAAATGTTTTGTACGTGTTTGGGGTGATGTTTCATTATCATCGTTTCCAATAGTTTCTGGTTTTACACCGTCAGATGATATTTGTTGTTTGTCGACATTGTATGAAGACATCGGTAAGATAAAATCAAAATCCAACGGTGTAATTCCTATTATAGAATACAAAAATAACATTATTTTAATAATCGAACATGAAGTTTTTAAATAAAATAAGATCTGATCTCAACACCCAGTATAAGCATCTTACCATATAAATGGAAATTGTCATAGTTAAATGAGTCAGATGTGCACATCGTTAAAAATTTATAATTTTATTTAATATGAAATTTTACGAGACTACTAGTTCATTCTTTTTTATATTTAGATAAAGAGAAAAATGAAACATAACTGCACAATAATATTTTCTAACTTAAATTTGTCTGTAGGAAATGTTCTACGTTCTAACATCAGTTTTCCTTTTAAATTTTCTGCGATATGGATGAGGAAAAGAAGTGACAAAACACGTGTATAGTTAACATAGGTGTGTTTTTTTAATGAAAATTGAACACTTTTTCTTTTGATGTATCTGTTACCTCGAGTAATACAAATAATAATACGTAGATAATGTGAAAATTGTGTCAGACATATTCATTGGTCAAATTGTAATAATTTATGTAGATTTGACAGAAGAAAAGTTTAATGCTAACACTAGATAAAATGAGACGATCATATTTGATTACGGTATTAATTACCAAAAGATATTTTAATATATATTTGTTCATAACATAAATTGCTTTCGTACCGGTATTTTTAAATTCTCGTATTAGATCTCACAATATAAGAGTTACGTTGTCATTTTATTAGTTTCACTATATGATGCTCTAGTTTGTGACCTATACACCGCGTGATAACAAAAGAATGGCTACCAAATTTACATTTAGAGGATGGATGTTCTCTATTCATTTCTGTTTAGAAACCAAAAACTATGCTGAAAAGGAGATTTACGTACTTAAATACCTTATTCTCCTTTTCTGATTTTTCTCCCTAGATAAACTTGAATCAAAAACATAAAAGCGTTGAAAAAATAAAGTACAAAGATTTCATAAATACCTTTTGATCTTTTAGTTAACGTCATATCATCTGTAGTTCTAATTGTTCATCATTTTCAGTATTATTAAGTCAACATATGGAAGAAAAAAAAATCCTGTCGATTTTTCAAGTGGACAATGAAACAACATATTTCACTTCAAAATAAGAGAAAAAAATTTAATTGTTGAAACAGTTATTATTACATACATTAGTTGTTGAAAAAGAATATTTTTTTTTTCATCTCATGTTGCCTTTTCGTTATATAACAAAAAAAAGACACTTAAAATCACCTTCATTGGATGTGGATTTAATTTGTATTTATTTCTTACTGTTGTTCACTTTGATATTGTTTTGATTTAAAAATTTTATTGCATCTATGTCAAATAACGCATTGATTAACACGTTGAAAGTAAACAATTACTTACACTTAGATTAAAATGTGTTTAATATGCATTTTCATCTCAACTTATTTGATATATCAAAGATTTTAGAATAAACAGTCTAGACTGAACTCAGTATGAGTGATTTGAATAGGTTTTCCACTTGAAAGGTAGTGCACTTAATCTTCTAAGAATTTACCATGTATTTTGTTCTAACAAGAAATGTATTAAACAAATATCATCATTCAACTAGATTTTGATTTTAACTTAAATAAAATTACGATTGTATGGTATGATTGCGTTAAGAAACCATAAAAGATGTGCTAATTGATGTTGACTGATTGATTGTTTGTTTTTCTAACTAAGGATGAGAGTTTAGACTATGTCAAGATGTCCTGTTTGCTTGATCGGGAAATATTGCTCGAACGAGCAACTCGTCTGATCAGGCACGATACTATCTTAGAAATCATAGGTCCTCTAACGGACGGGAAGTCTTTATTCTTCTTTTCGCACATTGTATATTCATTGTGTATCAAAATTATGTGTTCAACCTTTTACCTTTCTCATGGGAGACACGAAAAACAAATTTAGCTCAATATCGTGCATTTTATCTTTCTCGATCTGCAATATTGCTAGTTCGGGTAAAGTCGGTATTGTCTGTTTTGACAATACATCTTACAAGAACAGGCAACATATGAATAATACATTTATTTGTACTTTATGCACATTTATATGTGTTCGAAACCTTACTAAAAAGGTTCTTTTTATGTGAAGTAAATAGGAAAGTTAAATATAGCAATAACTGATTTACGATAGACTCTATCAAATAATTGTGAACATCTAATAAATTTCATGAGTGCTTCCCTCGTCCAGTAAAGGTCAGTTCAAGTTTTCGAGACTTGAGACTTTGAGACTTTTTCGAAAGTTTTGAAAGAAAAGAAGTTGTTAAAGGGAAAGATTTTCTTGAAAAGTAGGAGGGATGTACACCCCCTCACACCCTTTCCTTAGCCACGGCACTGGTTAATCAATTAATCTTTAATCCCTGCTTGCTTATTATCAACAGTGCCACTAATACAGAACAAAGAGGTTTTCACATTTACTTTTTTTAACCTTATAATTAATAGCAACTATTCGCAAATCACTTAGGAACCATTGGACGAGAAAAATGTCTGCTTACCACAGAAGCATGCTCAGCGATCATCTCAGATGTTTCACTAAGTAGTCTCATCTTGTAGAGCAAGTTTGAAAACCTGTAAATCCAAATTTTTAACCTTATCGGACTACAGGTTTCAGAGATACACCAAGAGTTTTCAAGAGTGCTTAGCATAAAACTTTGGCGTCGGAAAATGGAAAGAAAACCTAAAAATGCCATTACTCCGTCAATAAGAATGATTAGAGTGAGATTTTTTCACCATATCTAGTTTATGATGTCCTTTATTCGATGACATAGTTATATTTCTTTTATCTCGAATCTTCAGTTCAAAAATCTGAGTTTCTCTAGAGCCGAACAGGTTAAGCTTGTTGGGTTCCGTTCTCGAGGTCATCTACTTATATCGGTTTTCCAGAAGCCCAAACTTTTGAAAATGGATTTAGATAGCCCCTGGCGGAATACATAAGGACAAATTGTTGTGGATTGATTGTAGATAGATGACCTCG